TAGGACCCTTATTATAAGGACCCCGAAAATAAGGCACCCCTATTTTCGGAAACTCCCATATGATTATTAGGTACTTGGACCCTTAGGGTTCCGGAACTTTGCACCCGCCAGGATCTACCTGGCCAACTCCGGTCGGCCTTGGGCTGCCTGCGCCTTGAATTGGGCCTCAACAAACGCGTAAGGTCAAAGGGGAGGAGGCAATCCTTGGGATTGAGTCCGCCCTTTAAAAGAGAGTGTGTAGAAATGGAGGAAGCTTAGCAGAGAGACGGACTACTTGTGCAACTGAAGCCTCTTGTAGTAAACCTCCGGGACTCTAGTACAGGCTCCTGCCTCGGGTTGTGGGGGTCTTGCCTGCAGGTCCTTCACTTCTCCTGCCTGCCGGCTTGAGCATTAAGTCTCTGACTTCGCTCTACCAGCGGCTCAAAACGAGGTGGCTTCCGGGTTCGCGGTTTAGCCTTTAGGGGTTACGTAGGCTTAAGGGTTCAGGGTAGGCCTCGAAGGCCTAGATGCTGATATCCTCTGCCGCGCAAAGAGCCCGGTATGTGCTATCCACTGCCCTCCGATCGGCTCCTGGCCAGCCAAAGTTTTCGATGCTTTTTGCGTTGAGCGGTAATCGGTCCAAGTATACTGTTCTATAACAATCTGTTTTGGGGTCTAGATCACGAAGGACTTTAAGGATAATAGTTTACGATGTTTAGGGTGTGGGGGTTTTCGACGTGGGGTCAAAGACTTCCGGGGTCGTTCCTGTAAGCACAGCTCAACTCCTTGTTCGTTTGTGCATGTTGTTGACGAGAAGTTGTGTCATAGCTTTATCTGCAAAATGGCCTGCTTAACCCTAAACCCTACACCCCAAATTCTAAAGCCCCAAAGCCTAAACCTAAACCCCTTAACCTTAAACCCCAGACTCTAACGCCCCCAAACCCTGAATGCTCAAGCAGGAGCGCACCTTGTAAAAATAGCTGAGTCAAAAAAGGTCCATGTACACAAAAAGTAAGGGTTACTATAGGGTGGTATAAGGGCTTTAGGGTTTATAGGGTTTCAGGGTTCATGTATCCAAACAGCGTACTTTGGCCTGAAAGTAGTCCCCAAGGAGATACTTGGCCAAAGTATATACTTTTTGGGTACATGGACCCTAAACCCTAAACCCCAAAGCCCTTATCAAACCAGTAACCCTCATAGCAACCTCTCAAGGATCCTTCCGTTATTACCCTTGCCCTCAAAGGACTCATATTTTAAGGCTCTGGGGCCCAAAGACCCTATTATACAAGGCTTTTGGGTGCGATTTTGATGCTAAGGGTTAGGGACATGGCTACCAAAAGCCCATCCTCAATTCTATCGAAGTTATGGTCAGGAGTCAGACGGATGTTATCTCCTAACACCCGAACCTGAAATATAGGAACCTTGACAGTGCTATGTAATGGTACTATTATATGGGGTTTAGGGTTTAGGGTGTAGGTACTATAATATAGGAACATGATTAGTAAACCCAGAGGTTTGTATTCAGCTCTTTGCACGAATCCTGATATTTTTGGGGTTGTGGGCGGTTATGGGGCAGGGGCTTTGTTAATCAGGTTCCTACAGCAGCCCGCCTGAACAACAACCGGTCCCAGTGCCGGCTTGTCATTCTGTTTTCGTCGCAAACATGTTGAAACCAGCACAACGATCTCTTAGGGGCTGACTACCCTAGCCCAAAAGAGGTTAACCTTTTCAATTATAGTAGGATCATATGAGCCCCAAAAGGTTAAAGGTTATCTACTCAGCTACTGAGATCTCGCCAGTACTTTCGGGAAAGCATTCTGGCCGTGCTACTGAATCCGCTCGGCCGGTGGGGTCGTGGTGACTGGGTGGTTTGCAGGCGTCATCTGGTGGTCTGCTAGTCTCCTGGTCGTCGTGGTCGTCGTGGGTGGCGCTCTATCACTGTTGGGGGATTACGGTGGCGAAGTATTATTCGGTGTGGCCTAAATGGGGGTCTCCGAAAATGGGGGACCCTAATATAGTACTCTAAATAGTAGGATCCTTATAATAAGGACCCCAAAATAGGGTACCCCTTATTTTCGGAAACCTCCAAATCTTACCCACCGACCGTCCTTGACACCAAGCTTGTCCTGAACGGCGATCCGTGCCAAAAAGGCTTCGCAGCTGCACAAGGAGGAAGAACAGGAGAATTTGGAGCGGGATCAAACCAATCATTCCTCTCTGGAAGCTTACATCCAAAAGTCCAAAGACCAGTCCGACCATGCAGTAGCCGTAGCTGAAGGTCAAAATCCCACTAAGAGCCGCCAACATGAGCTGCAGGATCTGAGTCTGGACGGAGTAAGCACATTTCAGCATCCGAAGAAAGACCTGAGTACGGGAGCCAAATGTGTTCCACACATCCTTCCGAAATCGTGTCGCCTCAACCGCTGACCTTGGCGCCCCTGCTGGGTTTGGGTCTACCCATAGGCCCCATAGTAGTTCCTTTTTGTGGCATATATATTTAGGATTCTATTAGGGAATCCCAAAAAAGAAACTACTATGGGGCCTATGGGTAGGTTGTGCTGCTTGCGTGCCGAGAACAGGGTAGAAGATAGGCAAGACCAGCCAAATCGTGCCAAGCCAGCCCAGCGCAACAGGTAAAAGGTACCTCTCGAAGGATGAAAAGCCTCGGTTCTGGTTGAGGTTCCCGGAATGGGGGGAAACATGATATTGAATCTCCGATATAGACATATGTGTCTACATGTGTCCTATTTAGCATAGCTAGAAATTATGTGCATATATATGTATACATACGTAGGTATATATCTGTATATATATTTATATACACACATTGGAGGCGGAGAGAGAGAGAGAGAGAGAGACGGAGGCAAAGAGAGAAAGAGAGAGAGAGAGAGGAGAGAGGAGAGAGAGAGAGGAACAAAAAAGGAGGCAGGGAGAGAGAGTGCGGGAGCCCTGTTATGCTACTTTTGAACTTAGTTCTCCAACTGAAGCCCAGAAACCACTGGCGGATCTGCATGCAGCATCACATTGGAGAGTGTCAGTCGCAGAATAAAAGATCATGGGTAGAGAAGCTACCAGACACATGCTATATGGCACATGCAGCTGGTCTCCCACACTTTCCATGACGGCAGTCCGAAGTGGGCCGCGAATGTAGCTGTTAAAGGCGTCCAGAGCTTCATCATCACTCTGAGCATAAGCCACGCTGTCCTGCATTGTCCGCGACATGTAGGCGGCCTCCATGCTGTCACTAGGCGACGCCAAGTACGCATGCTCTGATCCCGTGGATGATGTCGGCAGAACCACAACATCTTTTTCGCAGATCACCGACCTGAATAGTTGTTGGACTTGCTGCTCCACGAGGATCCTGTCAGTCTCTACTGTGCACTCTGCAGCTCGGCAGTCAAAGCACGCCATCTGCTCCAGCCTGCTTGACCCAACATGTTTCACAAATAATTGACTGCTTGGATATGAATTAAGAGTTCGAAATGGCTCCTAAGGAACACCCAGCAGCATCAAGGAGTGGCTCCGCAATTTGGCTCTGCAGGCAATGGTCCATGGAATCGATGCAAGAACGCCCAATGCTGTGCCAAACAGCAGATTGAAGAGTACCAGGGTGAGAAGCGGACCGAATGCCGACCCCAATATGGCAGAAAAAGTTTGCGCGGAAGAGAAAATATCCATAGGGACGGTATGGGAAAGAATGTACCAGCTCGTGGCGACTAGCACATTCAGCAAAAGTGCTGACAGAAGCCAAGGTGCCAGCCAAAGTGGCAAGAATTGAACCTGGCAGGAAACATCACGGACAACTTCCGTCTAAAAAGTCTGGAAACGACCCCTTGGCTCTGGGCCGATTGAGGTTTATGCTGGGGCTGGATGAAGACTAGGTGTGGGCCGCGAGGCGGTGCAAAGGCACTCACACAGCCGGACCCGACAGCACTGGGAGTTACGGCCAGGCCCTGTTTGAACACTGCCACAATCACAGGGGCCAGTCGCATCTGTACTGGCAGTAGTTTTAACAGCATTGGTCGTGCTCGTCGTTGCTGTCGAAGCCGTAGCAGCAGCAGACGCAACAACAGTCTACTATTACGACGACGACTACAACAACCACAGCAGCAGCAGCAGCAACAACAACAACATTGGAAACTCCCCTCAACCAGAAAATCGCGAATGCAGAAACTCGACAACAACACCCCCTGCCCCCAGCGAGTGACACCCGATCCCGAACATCCCCGATTTTGGAGTCTACAATTATCTGCTTGCTCCAAAAGTAGAGGCAGGGAGTGAGGAAAGAGAAAATCTGTACCTGTCACTGCTGAGGCACTATTGAGAGTCAAACTGCCCCCTCCGATAGTCGCAGAGAGTCAACGAACCTACTAATTAACTGCAACTCATGCCACCACCACCACCGACACCACCACCACCACTGCCACAGCCACTATCCCTACCGCTACCGCTACGCCACCGCCATCACCACCGCCACCACTGCCACCACAACCGCGACCGCCACGACGACTCTACTACTCCGACAACTACGACTACTACGACTCCGACTGCGAAATCTGCAAAATTACGATTGCGACTGCAACTGTGCCACAACTACGACTGCTACAGCCACGACTACTACACTATTTGTCGACGACGGCAACTACCACCGCCACGACTGCAACTACGGCTACGACTGCTGCTGCTGCTGCTGCTGCTGCTGCTGCTGCTGCTGCTGCTGCTGCCACTGCCGCTGCCACGGCCACTGGCACTGCCACCAGCACTACCACGAATATCACCACTGCCACTGGCACAACCAGTAGAACCACTGCTGCTGCTAGCACCACGCAGACCAAGATGGTACAGACTCTCATTTCGGCATGTTGTCCAAGCGACTGTTGCTAAGATCCCACAGCAGTGACATCAGCCTGTTCAACAAGAGTTTCGGCCCAGCTTCCATGTCTGATACTCTCACGTGTGAACATGACGATCCCCACTCAAATCTTTGTTAAAGGAGTCTTGACTATCAGATGCCTTGATATTTAAAGCAACCCCTACACCCCAATTAGACGAAACCCTCAACCCTTGAACCCCAATCCCCTCACCTTCTGAGCACCGCCGTGCTTCGCAAAGGTAGCCAATTCTAGTTGACACCAGAGCCTCATGAAATAAGTGTCGTCCCACAACCTGGGCCAGCCGGGCCAGCCCCGTTTAGGGTCCAGGTTGGCTAGTTGGTTTAGGGCTTATAGGGTTTAGGGTTTTAGGGTTTAGGGTGTAGGCCAGCTATAAAGTTTAGGGCTTAGGCTTCGTCTAATGCACTGTTTTGGCTTGATGTCCACAAAACAATCGACCCCTACCCGATCTGACCCTAAGCACCCAACCCCTAAACCCCTAAATCCATCTAAATCCTAAAATGCCCTGAACATCATGAGGACCTGCAGCCGAATAGCACAAGCATCGAGGACGACCGCGCGACGAAAACAGGGAGTGCCTGGATCTGGCGCCGCTTGAAATCGTGGTCTGTCTGGTGAATGCATGCCCGGTCCACCCACACCGAGAGGGGTCGAAATCGATGTACCACATGCCTAGTTCATGTGGTTGGGGTAGTATTAAAAATTTCAACTTATATTCCTTATTGGGTTTAAGTACCCTTAAAAATGTACAATGTTACCCAACTATGACAAAGATGCTGGCCAAAGAAAAAGACAACAAAAAAAGCTGCCATCGGGAGGTAAACCGAGATGGGGAACAACCTGGGTCAACAAAAATTCGGTTACCTTTGGCACGGGCACAAAGACGGCGTTGAAAGTCTTGACTATGCCAAAACGGAGGACCGGCGCCCCAACACCACAGTCTATGAATTTCCAAACGGTTTAGGGTTTAGGGTTTAGGGTTTGGGGTTTAGGGTTTAGGGTTTAGGGCAAGTGAAGTGGCAAGAGGTTGCCACCAAGGTTGGCTGCTCCGCCTGCAAACACGATCATCGTTGCAGTAGCCAGAAGCCATGTGGCTGTGGAGCATAGCACAGCTGCTGTCAGATTCCTTCGTTCCCAAGCAAGCCCTTGAGGGTAAGGGCACCCTATTTAAAAAGGTAACAAGGCACTACGGGGGACCAGAGACCTTTAAACCCCAAGCCCAAGCCCTAAACTCTAAAGACTACACCCTAAACCCCATACCCTTGATCCCAAACCCTGCCACTCAAATGGGGGTTTCCGAAAATAGGGGACCCTACTATAATACCCTAAATAATAGGATCCTTATTATAGGGACCCCCAAAATACGGTACCCTAATTTTCGGAAACTCCCAAATAGGACCTAGATTCAAGTAGAGGCATAGTGCCAAGTACTTTGTCCAGCGAGCAGAGCCCCAGCGGTGGCTCAGAAAGACCTGCAGCTGGCAACGGGTTTAGGGTTTAGGGTTTAGGGGTCTACAAGAAGTCATCGACATTTCGGTTTTGGATCCGGTTTAGGGTTTAGGGTTTAGGGTTTTGGGTTTAGGGTTTAGGGTTTTGGGTTTAGGGTTTTGGGTTTTGGGTTTAGGGTTTAGGGTTTAGGGTTTCGGGTAGGGTTTAGGTCGCAATATGACAAACATGCGCTTCGTGTGCACGGTTCAGGATTTAGCCCAAAACAGTCCTCAACTAGCAACTAGAGTAAGCTTGAAGGGTACATTATACCATGGGGATTAAAGTACGGTTTAGGGGCACATTATACCAAACTCAGGAGGTCGAACAAGCGGACACTTGCTGGAATATAACAAACTCACGATGTTGCTTTCGACAGTGTCGACGAATGCATTAAAGGAATTTCGATCCCTAAGCCTTAGCAGCAAAATAGCCCCCAAAGCCTTTTGTATTAGGGTGGTTGGGCCCAAAAGCCTTAAACATGAGTCCTTTGAGGGTACGGGTATGTGTCCGGAGGTTCGGTGTTGGACCGTTCCTTTCAGGATTAGCACAATGTAAGGACCTTAGGGTTTAGGGTTTAAGGTTAGACTAGGACGGTATATGATACTATAGCTATATCTAGGGACTATATGGAGATAGTCGTTTACTGACTGGTATGTGTCATGTTGGCAGCCACATGAACATGGTGCTCGACACTCGAAGCTCAAGGCAGAAAAAAAGCAACAGCACACTGATGGATCCGGCCAAGGGCAATAGAGGGAAAGAATGGAAAGAGAAAGAGGCATGTGGTACGAAGATGAAATGAAAGTTTTAGTACCACGTATGCCAGACCACAGGAATGGCATGCGAAAAACAAGATGAGATGATCCGTGAGGGGT